GATTTTTACTTTTTTGGTTAATAATGGCTGGAGACGGCTTGAATGGGTAATGAAGAAAAACTTTAATATAAGTTTAACATAACAGCAAATGTACACCTTTTCGACAGGGTTTTGTCATCATCAGGTACAAAAGGATGACAAAACCTTGTCGAAACGTTGTACATTTGCTGTTATGTTAAACTTGTATTAAAGTTTTTCTTCATTACCCATTCAAGCCGTCTCCAGCCATTATTAATAACCTGGTAAGTTTAAAAAATGAATAAATTGTAAGTGAGTGTTATTAGTTATACACAATAAAGCATGAAATTTCAAACTAAGTGACTTGCTGTAATGGTAAAGTACATAATAAGAGGAATAAGAAATATTTCATTCATGCTACTTCAGCTACATAAGACTGTGATAAAAGCATTTAAATAATGATTAGTAGTTTATTGAAATTATATAAAGAACTTTTCAGTGTAATTCAAACAAGAATTTAATACAATATATGCCATCTTTTTTTTGTAGCCCAGGAAAATGATCTGACAACTGATTCTGTCATTTTATCTGACCTTAACACTACACACTTCAATGAAAGCACTACTACTCTTCTACCCTCCACTAGTAAAAATGGCACTGAAAGCACTACTACTCTTCTACCCTCCACTAGTAAAAATGGCACTGAAAGTACTACTACTCTTCTACCCTCCACTAGTAAAAATGGCACTGAAACACCTATAAGCTCCTCAACTTCAGCACCCAGTGGTAAGTGGATAGTGGAGGATGAAAATAAAACATGCATCATCTTGACCATGGACGCTTCTTTCAACATCAAATACAACAAAACTGGTAAAAGTGTAAGTAAAATATCATTAAGATATGTTGGAGATTCTATTAATGTCAAAATTGTATTAGTATAAAATTTTATATAGATATCTGCATATTATGTTAGATGGAGTTCTTCAGTTGTGCTTTATGGAGACACTTCCTAGGAGACTTAAGCATTTAAGTAAATATATTATAAATTTAAATAAAAGGATGTTTAATGTAACATCTTAAACATCACCAGAATCTAGATCACTGGGATTATATTCTGTGATGTGGATAATCTCTTCTTTCTTTCTTTCTTTCTTTCTTTTTTTTTTTGTCTGCTTTATTAAGGTATTCTTTCATGTTCTTAGTATACGGTAGTTTAAAGCAATGTTTAATTTTGCATTTGTAAAATGTACTTGTCATTTTCAGAATTTTTTTTTTTCTTTAATAATTTAATCACATAAAACCTGATCATTATTGTTTAGTTATTTTTCACATTATTTAATTAAGATTTTCTCTAATTCCCTAAAATGTTTTTTTTTGTTTTTTTTGAAATTGTGCAGAATTAAGCTTTTAAAGCTTAAAATTGTCAATTCTTATGCTATTGTTCAAACATTGCTGTTAAAGTAACTTAACAACCACACCCTGTGTTTCTTGTATTCATTTTGGGTGTATATGTGCCCCACACACTTGCTGTATATGTAACGTCCGATTACTCTTACCAGCATATTTAAATCACCTAGCAAGTTTCACCAATGCTAGCCAAGTGGTTATTGTATTTTATATGTATGATTAATGGAGAGCTTCTTTTTCAATCTCACTTGTTTCATTTCTCATCAAATGTTATGCTTCCAACTGATGCATTTTTGTCTACACTTCTTACACCATTGTTTATTCATATGAAAGAAAGCTATAATTATTATGGAATTAGCTACACAGTTTCTTCTGACCACACTTTCATTTGATTGATCTAGATATACTCATTCAAAATAATTCAGTCTCCCTCATGTTGAGTAGATACTGTGTTGGGTTTGTTGTATGTGGTTGGTGATATTTCCTCAGCCAAATTAATGTAGGTAAAGAATGTTAAAAGGTTTCACCAGTCTTTTATTATTTGAAAACCACTTCAGCTAATCATAATGGTACTGTTATGGCACGATATTCTATTGCAAACTTGTATAACCCAGAGAAGCAGACCAAACCCTAAGCATGAATATGGAAAGTAATATCTTGCAAATACTGCTGAAACATACATAACATTGTGGCACTGAAAAATCGACAGAATGTTAGGTTGTTTTAAAACATCTTGTATTGAATTTATGAGTGTGAATTGAATGTGATATGTGCTCATTAAATATTTCATTCAAAGAGTTGTTAAAAGTACTTTATATATTTCAGATTGGAACTGGCAAACTTGATGTTCCAAAAAATGCTTCAGTTGATACTGGAAATAGTACGTGTTCGGGAGCAAATTATACTCAGATTATTGTGTTGGTTTTCAATGGCAATTCCTTAATGATGACCTTTGCCAACACTGATAAAACGGTGTCGGTAACAAAAATGAAGCTGAATTATATTCTAGACAGTGTCAACTTCCCTAATGCATCTGAACCTAGTAAGTATGGTAATCAATGATATATGATGCATCATGTAAGTCTGAGGAATTGTACACCATTAAATGATCATTTCTGAAACAAATTAAGAGTTGTAGCTCTTATTTTAAAGGATTAAACTTAAATTTTATTGCACATTTGTGGGAGAGAAAATAATTAATAAATTTTAAATTTCAATAGTATTTTCAATTCAGCAGAGCAGTTAAAGTATCAAGCAAAATATGAGCCTTTATTTTTTGGTTAACAGCAAAAGAAAAATAAGTGTTGTGCTGTTTGTTTGGGACAGTGCAAAGCCCTTAGCAGTTGTTTGTATTGTTTGCATATAAGGTTGGCACTGCATAAATTATCCGTATACTGAAGTTACTGAAAAGGGGAGGTAAATTCAAATACTCTACAGTTTGGTGACATTTGTGTGTATCCTTTTCATTGGCTAGAAGTGTGTAATGTTTACACCTTATATAACTTATTATTAAGCTCTAAAGGTATCTTTATGGTTAATAGTGATTCTAACTTTAAAAAAAGAGTAAAGACGTGTGTAATAAGACTATTGCATAGTGGCAACTGTAAAATATATTAAAATACTTGTTTACGTACACCCACTTTGCTCAATTACATGTTCAAAGATAATCATTTAGATAAGACTAGTTGAAGTGAGGACAAAAGTTTATTAAGTGAGATTGCTTAACGTGAAATTAACTTTTTATGAAATCTGTACATGTATTATGATAAACATAAAAAACAAAAAAAACAACAAGTACATAGATTAATTAATTATTCATGCTCACTTTCAAAGCTTTTTTATTATTATTATTATTATTATTATTATCAAACAGATGCAATGAAAGAAGTTAAAGTCAGTGAAACACTTTTTAAAGTAGACCAGGGTAAAGGTTATGTGTGCAACAAGGCTGAGAATATCGATTTTAACCTAAATGTGACGATGACAGTTTCCAAACTTCAAGTGGAAGCTTTCAGGACTGATAACAGTTCATACTTCACTGAAGGTAAGTATTGTACTTGGAACTATAGCAAGTTGTACTTTTTGGTCAGGTTCATGTGCTTTTTGCAAAACATTTGTTTTAGTGAATAAAAAAAAAAAAAAAAATAGGGTTCATGCCTTTCTTTATAAATAAGTACATATATCAGCTCTTGTGTGTAATGCACTAGATTTGTAACGAAAAACTTCCTATCTTAAACAACGGGAAACATTTAGTCATAAACTATTTATCTAGATTAATTATTTAAGTATAGTAGAAGTCAGTAAATTACTCATTTATGTGAAAAACTGCGAGATTAATTTTCCTTCATTTTTTTTTTTTTTTTTTTTTTTTTTTTTTTTTTTTTTTTTTTTTTTTTTTTTTTTTTTTTTTT